ATCGATAAGAGTAGGCTTCGGCCGCCACCCGGGCAAAATTCAAAATTTCCTACCAACTGAAAATATTAGGTGTGTCCCGCGCGCTCATATGACCTATGCAGTTGCGAGCGCCGTAAAACACTTTACAAAAACGAAAAAAAAAACGAAAACAAATATGACGTTATGAGTCCACAAGCTTTTAAAATTGGCACCCTCATAATTTCCAGTCTACCGTCGTTTTCCTCCTGTGCTCTTCAAATACCTTATCAAGTTTTCTGGCTCTGAGGTCATAATGCCAGGCTCAGGGAGGGTTTCCTGTACACGCTCAGAAGTTGGGATCGAATGGTACCACTCACCAGTAGCGAAATTCTTCAGGGATAACTTGTTTCTTGTAAATTCCTATGAGGTCTTGTTTCTTGGCTTTGCTCACTGGTATTTTGTTTATAGAGTTTTCTCAGCAGTGGATCTTTTGGTTTGGATCTGCGACGAACAGCACAGTCCAGCTCTCCGTATTCGTCAGTCTGTTTATATTTGTAGAAAATTGTGTTTGGAGAATCGTCTCTGACATGAAAAGATTTTACCAAAATCCAGTTCATGCTCTCACCAAGCTTGTCTTTTTTTCTGTTGCTTATCAGTATCAGTTCAGTGGCAACTGCTTCAAAATCCATGAAGTCGGGCTATCGCAGCCTCCTAAAGTTGTATGTATGTTTTGGGGGGGTTTTCTGAGCGCCGGGCATTTTTAAAAATGTTGGTCGACTCTGTCAAAGAGAAACAGTTCCTTCATTTTTTTCTCATGCTCTGTTGCTGCGTGCATAGAATCGACCCCCATGAACGTATGGCCTGATTCTAAGACGTTCTGTGTAATGACTTTGAATCTCTTTGATTGTACCATGTACAGCAGCATGGCTAAAACATTCACGATTCTTTTTTGGCTTGAACATGTCTCTGAGAACAGGCTTACTTCAGAAATTTCATGTGGAAGGGAACTTAGCCACTGATATAGGCATGGAGCTATTTCGCAACTTTCACGGCGTCCATCAATCTCCTCCAAACGAAAGCAAAAACCTTCATTTGGAGGTTTATTTTCGTGGATTGTCAAGTTCTATACACACAGCTTTCTCGAAACGTATGTCAGAGAAACATCACAGCTGGGCAATTGCAAAACACTTTGAAGATCAAATGTTGCAGTGGCGAAATGGTCGCTTTTAAGGACAAGACGGCTAACTCAGATGTCAGAGGTTTCCAGAAATCTTGACCTACACCAAAAGTGGGTATTGCCCTTCCTATAGGAGACGTTTGGTTTCATTGGTGTGTATATTTGTTTGCTATAGAGAAAACTCTCCTTTGTCTTTTAAAGAAACTGAGAAAGGGGCTAAGACTTAATCTTCGATTTTCTCAAAACAACATTTTTCAGGATAGCCCCTTGTGCTTAAAATCGACCAAATGTTCATCTGTTTGGGCCCGATCTTTATCTTGTTGCTTAGCTAACTGTGCTTTCGTGAGGCGCTTTTTTGTGCTCGTCTTGCAATGCTTGTGACTGTGACAACTGCTTTTCATCACCTGTCAAATTGTTACATTTTGAACATGTTGCGCACTGGTCTTTTTGGGGCACACAAAAAATGATAAGTTGTATTCTTCACCAAACACAGTTCTGTTGACCATCTCGGTAACTGGTTCTATGGCTGACACTTGATCTGCACAATACCTCTTGTACAGTTGGTACATTTTACAAATGTTTAGTGTTTTGCCCAAATACTTTCTGTGAGTGGTTTTTATTGGGGGGGTATAAATGTGACTACATAACTGGGAAGAGTTTGATATGGTTTCTGACGACATGCAACACCTCTTCGTTTGTTTTATTCCATGGAGTACGCTTCCCTCTTTCGTCTTCACCAGCAAAAACGTCCTCTGCACTTTTATTTTTACGGCAGTATCGATAGGTCCATGGGATATGTTCAAAGTCTTGAAAAAGAAGTGTTTGTTCACACTTACTTTAAAAGGAGCCAGTCTAAAAAAGTACTGGGCTGAGTGAGATGTTGGTTTTGAGTTTTTGCCTGGCCGTGGTCGTTTACGTTGGAGCTCATGTTACAAAGGATCTACCCAAACGCCCAAGTACAGTACAGACTTAGTGTCCCAATATGATGAGGGCAGCGCAGTAGATCAAAATGCCTCTTGCTCAAGGGACTATCCTGGACAAAAAGTGAAAAACCGGGTTTGATCACTGTTAGGTAACGCAATGTTTTCTGCCAAAAATGAATAACGTGACTTATTCTTTTTTGTCAGATATCAGCCTTTCAAGTTCAAGTGCTAAGAAATAATTACTCCAAGAAAACTGAACTATTTAAAAAGTTCAGTTTTGGCTGTAAACCTAAAGGGTTTTCTAGACTTAATCATCTCTGTTTCTTGTATTTATAAAAGAGGTAGGACTTACTCAGTTCTTGAGGGTTTAAAAAAATATTTAGTAGAGGTTTTACGGTGCTCGCAACTGCATAAGGTCATATGAGCGCAGAAGATTAGAGGTGTTATAAGAGAGTAACAAACATAAAAAAGACGAAGGGGAATAATGGCGATGTTTGATAGGAAAGAAGAAGCAAACCATACCAGAGCACCCGCCAACCAACCACCTTCTTGAGGTTGTAGAGCGTCAAAAGTTTGCTAAGAAAAAGTAAAAAAGGGAAAATCGCCCCTCATGGACTTATTATCCACTTATGGCAAGCAGCTGTCGACATAATGTTGATCTACATCCTATTTGAGGTTTGCTGAGCTGGACGGTTTTTATTTGTTTGGTTTGGGTTTTGTTTGGTTTTATTTTATTTTTATATATTTTTTTTGGTAGGCCTAAGTGTTTTACAACTCCCGCAACTGAGTAAGGTCACATCGCATCTGACAGCACAAAGGCGCCC